GATATTACTCTCCTTTGTCTGTGTTAAGAAGTACGTCCACAACATAGTCCTGTACGCCTATAATATAATCATAAAGATGCCTGAAAAGTTACCACGATCAATAAACAAAAGAAAGAAAGATGGCTGTATATTGGGGATGAGGAGGAACACAGAGAATGGAACAGGATTAGTACCTGGAAATCAGAACAGTTGGAGAACTGGCAAAAACTCCAAATATCCAAACAATTTGTTTCTGTACATAAACGCATGCTAAAACTAGTATCAGAGTCAGATGGATACTATTTTTTTTTTCGGATTTTTGTAGAACCATTTCTGTTAGCACAATTATATACAGCTGACACACCACATACTGTAAGTAACAGGATGGCAGCCACATAACTTGTTGAAATACAGATACAGTACAACAGAAGTCCCTATTACATTTAAAAAATCAAGTATTCACTAACATTAGCACATTGTATAAATATAACATGATAAGTCTTCAAGTTACATGCTAAGACAAATTCATAATTAATAACCTCTGGAAAATATTTGGATCTTTTACAGTTCTTTACTGATGCTAATGTTGGCACATCTCTTAACAGCTGATAAAACCTTGTGTGCTCAGGCAGTTGACTGGATGTCACAATTTTATCACTTTTAGTTGCTGTGAAAGCTTCAAATGTGACATACATACTTTATCCTATCATTACTTGTTGAAAAGAATTGTCACCAATTATCATATCAATGCAGAACTTTGTGATTAAACTTAAACATTCACCGTGAACATGCTAACAGAGATTATGGAGGCAAAGGTGAACATTTTAAATACTTGACCAAGATAATATAGAATAAAATAATTGCTGTGTCAGTTCTTTAAGACGTGCTGTCTGAAGGTGTCAACGTTTTGAAAAAATAATAAAGTGACAATAATAGAGTTCATTCCAATAGTAAATATCGTATTTATGCATGTATAGGCCGCAGCACAATTTTCAGACAGAAATTATAGAAAATATAATTTTCTTGGAATATTATTACTAATGTGGTGTTGGAGAAGAATGGAGANGCTAATTGGATTGGTCATGTTTTACGCAGAAACTGCCTTCTAAAAGAAGCTATCGAAGGAAAGATAGATGGGCGGATAGAAGTGACAAGAAGACGAGGAAGAAGACGTAAGAAGATGCTGGATGACCTTGGGGACAGAAGAGGATACTGTCATTTGAAGGAGAAAGCTCTAGATCGCATTAAGTGGAGGAATTGTTTTGAAAGAGACTGTGGACCTGTCGTCTTGACAGATTACTGATGATGATGATGATTATTACTATTAGTATCCTACTAGTATTACTAATTATGAATATATATTTTTTTTAAAATGAAGTGTGATTTCGAATATTTCGAATATAAGCCGCACCCCAGTTTTCCTCTTGAATTTTTGGCAAAAAATGTGCGGCCTATACATGCGTAAATATGGTAACTACATGCAAACATCAGTAACTATGCCACTTAAGTTAAGGAATGAAAAAATCCAATATATTAACAACTTAAATGCTAATATATGCCTGAAAGTAAAATTAGAAGAAAAAAAAAATATTAATTTATTAAGTACTGGCAACACTTAGTGTGTAACCACTCAATATCAAGTAATATAAATAGTATACATTCATCTGCTTGTAGAATGTGCAAGTAGATCTGTATAGTAGATCTGTATGTGGAATACAGAATTTTGTAAAGATGATAACAGATTATAACTTATATCATAACGTATGCAGGGTTCATTCATAATTTTAAAATTAATTTAAAAAGAATTGTTTAGAGTATATTACATAAACAATTAAGGAAGCAAACAAATGATTTTATAAATTATACCAGCATTCCCTGAGTTTTGCTGGAATTGATGTATGCAGATGAGCTTTTAAAATATCATACTCTGTTAAATGCTTATATTACTAATTAATCACTTCTTGTTTTTTGTTCATGTCATAATTAGTTTTATGATTCAATAAATTACCCTTTTATATAACTTCATGTAGTAAAATATCAAAAAATAAATTGTTCTTTTTCAACATTCCACATCCAACACAGAAGTATTCTCACAGATTATTACATCTGAAGTACTTGATGTGGAAAAAAAAAGTATGGGTTTACCACATACATTAAACATCATAATAAAAATAGTATTGAAAAAGAAAAATAAGTACTTTTATCACTTGTGTTCAATGACTACAAAGCACAATTACTTCAACTTCTGAAATGCTCCTTCACCAAGGGATTTTCAAAACAATGTTTCTCAAGTGGAGGGTCAACATTTGTGTTCATGAGGGCTGGAATGATAATGGATTGAAACAGCTTCTGTATTTTTTAAGTCCCGTTCAAAAACTTTAAAATTATGTTGCATAGAGAATTAAGAAAGCCCTTACAATTTTGTAAATCCTGAATGTTCAACACCTAACCCATGCTCCAGTCACCATTCTAAAATGACAGAGAAGTAATGCTTGGAAATATTACATGTATACGGGCAACTCTGAAATGATGATAATCTTCAAAATGCATTCTTTAGAACACACAATGTTACAAATTCTTCCTTCTTCCCACTACCATCTGAAACATGCTGTGTTCACTTGTTTCTTATGGATACTTACAATGTAAAAACTTGTTTAGATCTGCCATTATACAAAGCTTATGAGCCCAGTGCTCCCAAATTATAAAAATCTGAATTAGCCCCATTTAACAGTTGGTTTGTACTGACTAATTAATGGCTATCAGCAGATTAGAAGTAACATGTTTTAAAGAACAAATCATCTTTCAGCATCACTATTACGGAAGACTAAATGACTGAAACATAATTTATACCAATAAACTATATTAAAATTATGTATTTTTAAATGTATGTATACACTGCACTTAGATTTACTGTGAATTATGAAATAAAATAGTCTCAAGTTACCAACTCCTGGAGTTTCAAAACAATGTTCACACTACTTTGAAAGGAATATCTTGTAGAAACAATACAAGAATATAAACGAACATTAAAATTTACAATATGCTAAACAATGCAAGCAACCTCTTATTCATTAAAGAACTCTTACAATACTTTTAGATATCCTGAGAGAGAATACTGGAGGTTGAGAACCAAATTTCAAAAGGAACAAAATTATGTTTCTAACATAGATATGACTCAAATATCAAGGGAACTAATACAAAACTGTTGCAAATTTATCCTCTCTGTGAATGGATAAACTAAATATTAACAAGAAAATGCAGTTTTTTTAAAACTTCAGCTTACTACATCACATATTTCATATATGCTCTAAAGCTTAACCCTTTGACTGGCGCGGGTGTGTTTTAACGCCCGGACAATGCCAGCTGTTCCCTGGTGTTGGTGTGTTTTAGCACTTTGATACACTCTTCCCTTCTTTGCTGTCTTGGCACTCATCAACCAAAGACATATTTATGATAATTTTTGTGCATGGTTGTAAAGAACCCTTGTTCACTTTGTGGGGGTTTATATTACTGCCAGAACCCTCTGAGAGGGAAAAGGTCAGAAAATATTTCACATTCATTCAGTTTCACCATGGCTTCTCGCAGCAAGTGCCGGAGCGTTCCTACAGACCAGCTGGAAAGTGTTGTGACTGAGATTTGTGCTGATGATGAAAGTTGCGATGAAATAATGGTTCCTGAATTAGATGAAGTTGATAGTGACAACAATACAGTGATAGACAATGACCCACAAGACAGTAATCATGAACATTTGGCCACCATGAGTGAGGTGCCTGACACGCCCATCTCATGGACGTACGGAGACATTGTACCAACAGTAGTTCCATTTACTAGTGGCTGGGGGATCAAAATTAATATAACACATAAAATGCACCCCTTTTCAAGGATCAAATTTTTCTGGATGACGACTTAGTAAATCACTTCACAACTGAAACCAATCGCTATGCTCACGAGCACTTCAACACACATGAATTAGCTCCTCACTCTCGAGAACACAATTACAAATATGTCACACCAGATGAAATGTGGACATACTTAGGAATTGTGTTCATGACAGGACTTGAAAAACGCCCCGAAATTGATGAATTTGATCCACTAGGCCCATATTTCACACTCCATAGTATGGACAAAAGATGTCTTTGCAGTGGTTCCGACAGATCTTGAAATTTCTTCATTTTGCAGACAATGATGCATGACCAGCTGACTGTGAAGATCGCCTGTATAAAGTTAGGCCAATTATATACTCTTTCGTGGGGAAATTTAGAAACACATATATCCCTGAAAAGGAAATGGCAATAGATGAAGGAATGATTGCTTGGAAAGGATGTCTTATCTTCCGAGTATATATGCCTGACAAACCTGATAAGTACGGTATACAGGCTTATCTTGTTTGTGAATCGACAAGTGGATACATTTGGAATTTTGAAATTTATTGTGGAAAATCAAGACCTATAAAGTAATTAGTTGTCAATCTGTTGGGGCCACAGCTTCTAGATAAAGGGTTATCATCTCTACCAGGATAACTATTACAATAGTGTAAACTGTGTGAGATGTTATTACAGAGAAATTCCTATGTGTGTGGTACCTTCAGAATGGACAGAGGAGCTCCTAAAGAACTAAAGGATGATGTAAAAATTACGATAAAAGGGAAATCTGTGTTTTCTAGGAAGGGGCAGGTTCTCATACAGGTGTGGAGAGATAAAAGAGACGTCAAACTTATCTCCACTCTTCACACAGCAAAAATCGTGGAATCTGCAAAACCGAATCACAAAAGAGAAAAAATATGCAGACCTGAGATAATTGGGTACTACAATAAAACATATGAGGGGGTTGACAGGGCCGATCAAATGCTGCATTATTAACCTTGTTCCCACAAAACTGTAAAGTGGACAAAGGAACCGGTGTTTTTCGTTTTGCAAATGGCAGCATTGAATAGTTTCATTCTATTAAAAAAGAACACAACAAACAAAAAATACAACAGAAAATACAAATTCAAAGATTTTATATTGGACTGTGTAGAAAAAAATGACAGAACCAAACAAACAGTGTGGAGAGGGAGAAGAGTCAAGGAATGAAGTGGATGACGAATCTATTGCTTCAGACTTGACTGCAGTCACGCCTCTGCCCGCGACCTTGAAAAGACCACCAGTGAAGGACCCAGCAAATCGTCTAGAGAGTGGCCTAAAAATACACAAAATGATCCATGTTCCTCCCAGTAACAATAAGAAGAATGGTGCCATGAGAAAGTGTCGTGTGTGTGCTAAGCACAAGATTAGAAAAGAAACAAGTGTCATGTGTGCAAGCTGTGATGTGGCCTTCTGCAAACTTTCATGTTTCAATGTTTATCACACGAAGAAAAACTATTAAAAAGGTATTGAAAAACATTTTTTGCATAAAATATTGTCTTTTTATTAGTTCCTGAAAATTTCGTTTTTAAAAACCAATTTTTGTTGAAGTTACTTAAAAAAAAGTAAATGCATGCATTTTAGTGACTTAAGGCTTAAAGGGTCTGCCAGGACAGGGGTGGCATTTAAATACCCTTCACGCCAGTCAAAGAGTTAAGAAGAAAAACCAGGTACAAGAATTCAACTGTTTCCATATCAGAGATCAAGGGGCAGAAAGTTGGACACAGCCTCTGCGAAATGTAGACAGAATAGTTGTCTTTCTGTTACTCTGAATATTCACACACTTATCTTAATAATAACAATACCAATTGTCTTGACTTTGCATAGGATACATACACTGACTTTCTTCTAAGCAGCGATAATATGCTAATAGCATCAGAAAAGGCAGTATTTCAGAAAAAATACATCCTGTAATTGCTGGAATAAACTTTAGTTATCATATACCAAACTGCAGTTACTGCTTCAATAATGCCAGAATTGCACTGTTAAAAAAAAAGACTTTAACAAACTAACAACAAGGAAAAATTCTATTGCCTCATCTGCTGGGAAAGGATAGCATATTTTGGTGACCTTTACTTTCATTCTCTGCTCTTGTACTTAACAGTGGCAATATATATTGTTGGTATAAATGCCACTGGATACTAAAATACCTTCTCATGCCTTCCGTCCAATTTTGTGGTTGTACTGCTGTCCATTTTGATCACCTAGGGCATAGCTTGTTGGAACGGCATATACAATAGTTGTCCCATTTCCAGGCCGGAAGTTGGCTACCTGTGTTTCAGGTGACACCTCTATGTGGAGGGGTCTGCTCTTGTTTCCAAGCATGCAATGAAACTGGCTACTAACCGTCACTTTCAGTTCCATGTTACGCAGCCTGGAATTGTGAACGATAACTCCAAATAAAAACATACAGTATCAACACATCAAAAATAAATTTAATTAAACATTTTTACAGAGAATAAATGGAATTACAGGCAGAGCTTCTCATAAAGCATACGTTCCTGCAGCACAGATTCTAGCCCCGCAAATACTGTGTCATCAATTTTATAATCAGATATTATCAGTTTATAGTTGAAGAAGAAAGGCAATGTGATGATGGGAGTGTAAAATGCAACGCACCTAAAATCATGCTACCCCAGATGGCTGTTTGGTTGGTTCCCCCAGCCCTGATTATGACACTTATATGCTCTAAATGTACAATTGGGAAACTGACTGTGAGCAATACACGCATCAGTAACAAAATAATGACATTCATCCACTAAATTCTGTCAAAATTTAAAGTCTTTCAAATAGAGAGAGAAATAAATAAAAATGAAGTACGTATTAGAGCGAGAGTCCAAAGAGAGGCTAACTAAAGGAATTTAAGGTGTCATATACATGTTTCAAGCAGTAACTGTTGATCTTTCTCTACTGTATTCCTTCTTATCAAGCATACAGTAGTACCTTTTCTTCAGCAAAAAAGATATATGATAATTCTTAAACGATAACTTCAGACAGAGATAACATGAAGAATATTGTCTTTTTGAATGTGATGCTGAGTAGCCTGGTAAATGTTTATCAGTGTTTCAGTGGAATTTGCTGCCTATCCACTCTGACGATGCAGGCAGCATATTCCTCCAATATGCTGGTAAACCTTTATCAGACCAAACAGCATCACATTCCAGAAGACAGTATTCTTAACAGTCACCTCCCTGAGATTCTCACATCTCAGGTACCTGCAGAAAGGTATTATAAAAGGAGTCATGTCACTACTCTTACTGTATTTGTGAACTTACTGCTGATAACGATGGCATAAGACCCCAACCAATTCTCCCACTCGGTCCTCATGTGATGGTTCAGGGTTGAGGGCCACTACTAGGTCATTACCCTTGTTCGAGTGGATCACCAACAACTGATCTCTGCCTGGGCTTAAACTCAGTCCTGTTACCTATAAAAATTCAGATTATAGTCCCAATATGGCTTCCAAAAGAACAGAATGCAGAGAATTCACACTTCAAAGGACTGAAATTTTGCAGTAAATTGTTGCTCATGGGAAGCCTCGCAAATGAAGATGTACTGCATTGTATTTTATATCATCCANTTTTCTGTTGAGCTACATCTTTATCTTTATCAGTAACAAGTACATTCATATCGTCTGCAAGCAATAACATTTCTGCACCTTGTACATTTAGCGGGAGATCATTTATATACAGAAGAAACAGTAGTGGTCCCAGAATTGACCCTTGTGGTACCTCATGTATTGTTTCTCTCAAGGGTGATATATATGTGTATTTTGAATGATATTTTTATTCAGGTGATTTATTTCAACAAATTGTACTCGGTGAGATAAATAAGATTTAAACCATAAATTAGTAACCCCCATTGTAATTCAATTTATCTAGTAATACACTGTGGTCTATCACATCATATGCCTTTGTCAAGTCAAAAAATATTCCTATAACGCGTAACTGTGTATCCATCGCCTCCTGTATAATCTCAATGAAGGTCTGGGAAGCTGTTTCTGTTGATCTGTTTTCCTAAATTCATTTTGTACTTCTGTTAATATGGTATATTTTGTTACAAAGGATATCAACCTGTTATACACCAATTTTTCTAGTATTTTGGAGAAAACCAGCAAAACTGATATTGGCCTGTAATTACAAACTTCCTGTCTTTCCCCTTTTTTATACAGTGGTCTTACTTTAGCTATTTTCATCTTATCTGGACAGACCCCCGATTTTAAAGAGGCATTGAAAATATGTACTAAAGGTTTCTTTATGTAATGTGAACATCTCTTGGTTAAATATTCTGGAATTTCATCAAAGCCTGCAGATGGTTTACCTCTTAGACTTTTTATTACCCTCTTTATTTCAATTTCGGTAATAGGGAGCCAAAACATTGTGTTCATTTGATATTGAATCCTCTGTCGTGAGGTTTGTACTGGAGAATGGCTTATNGTTACAATCATAAGCAATATATAAATACAACATTCCAAAAAATACATAAATTACTATATACAGCTCATGAATGGCTATGTTGTATATGGTGACACCTGGTATACATTGTTGTATAAGGTATGGCGATGCTTACTATAAACTGTTGTATATGTTAATACCTATGTGGTATATGGTGATACATAGTATGTAATGAATTGTTTTATAAGGTAATTAATATAATATGTTATATGGTATATTGTAATATGAGGAAAAGACTGTACCTTATGGATACATAATATGAGGAAACGATTGTACAAACAAGAAGTCTCAAGAGATTAACTTCAGGAAGGATCAAAAGATTAGAGTTTTGTCCTTCACCTTTGCTGTCACAAGAAAGAAGCTTGTTTTTTTACTAAGAACAAGACAGCTGTGGACCCTCCAAAAACTCACGAGGGTGATGCAATGAATGATGCTAGTCAGATTACTCCAGAAGGGTAACGCCCTAACTGGACCAGATATATATACCCCACGGGGCGTAAGCAAGACGCTTTTGATATCGACGCTGATACGTTCCGCTCAAAGAATTAAATGCTGGTATGAATGTGATGATAATGGAGGCCATCATATCTCTGTACATTTCAAATTTCTACTATCGATAAGATTGTGACATGATACCTGCAGACAGCAGACATGCACACAGCGATGAACAACTGTTGGAAGGGGTATTTTCTATGCAGTCCATCCTCAAGTTATATGAGGACCAATGGAGACCAGAAATGCAGTTGTGAAAGAGAAATATATGGTCGTGGATCCTGAGGAGCCTAGAACCAAGAATGCCTGTGCTGGCAAAGGCCAGCAGCAATTCACCTGACTGACTGATCAGGACCACAGTTGGTGATTACCAGTCATTTATCAGGCAGCAAGGACAGGAACTGTTGTCCACAGAACCAATAAAAGGGAATCTCCATTGTTAGAAGTAACTACCAAGCAAAGAGTATAACTACATTAATTTATATTTCTCCTAGTTTTACCATGTAGAGTGACACTTTAAAGCAAAATGTGTAGAATAATTTTTTCATGGACAGCGTGTCTGACAGGGCCACAAATGGATATGGGTTATATGACTTCTACATAAAAATGGAACAATGTAAAAACAATCAAAAGCCACAGAATTAATGCCATACCTCCTGAATTGGTGAGCCTTTCTTCATGGCTTTGAACTTCTTTGTTTCTAGCTTGTAGATGTTACTGTCAGTGATTAGAAGTGCTCTATCTGCACACTTATTGAACCGATTTGTTTTCTGGATGTATGATGAAAACAACACCTGTAACAATTCAATAGTCTGCCCTGCACACTTGTCTTCATTACCTGATTTCAAAAACATTCCTGCATTTACTGAAATACTGTACTTGATGAATATTTTTTTCTGGTCAAAACTGAAGTGCAACATAAACAGCACATTACTGAGGAATATTCTGTTAACTCAAATTTAGTAAATAACCTGGATTTACTGAAAGAAATTTTTGACCTCTTCAATTTACTGTAATGGTGGTTGAAACAGTTAATATATTTAGGTTTTCCAACAACTGTTACTGGACAACCATAATCTCAGGGTAGTGACATCACATTCTAAACACACACTTAGATTTCTAGTGTTTATGGCATCATAATCGCTTGATTACTGACTGTAGTTCTTTCAGTGTTTACTTCACGTCATTAATCATTTTAGAAAGAAATTTGATGTTACCGATAATGTGAATCTATTTACTGGCAAAGAAACAGTTTCTGAAACTGCTTAAGTAAAGAAAGTATTTTATACTAACTGTATATAACAGGCTGTTCAACTGGACACTTATGGGCAGTATTCTGCCTGCTATATATCCCTCCAGTCCAAACAATACATGTTAATGCTTTATGCCCTTTTAAAAAAAGGAGCAGATCTTACTGAAATAAACTTTATGAAAAGTGCTTACTAAATATTCTATGTAATTCTTCAAATGATTTCAGGGGACAATAAATAACTGTGAAAAGTATGGAATTTGCATGAGTTCAAGATTGTATGCAATATCAATACAATCTAGCAAACCTTTAGCAGTTGATTTTTAAAGTCATCAATCTGGCAACATTTAATTTGAATAAATGTTCCTGAATGTTACAGGTGACTTTCATGTGCTGTCCTTCAGAGATATGGATCACTGCAGGGCACATATTTGTATCAGTATTTTGGAAAGGAATATATTTTTATAATACAACCAGTAGGAATGTAGACTGGCAGTATTTGAGAACAGGGTGTTGAGGAGAGATGAAGTGACAGGAGTTTGGAGAAAACTGCATAATGAGGTACTTCATAACTTGTACTCTTCTCCAAGTATAATTAGAATGATCAAGTCAAGGAGGATGAGGTGGGTAGGTCATGTAGCACGAATGGGGGAGATGAGGAATGCTTATAGGATATTGGTGGGAAAGCCAGAAGGAAAGAGACCACAGGGAACACCAAGGCGTAGGTGGGTGGACAATATTAGAATGGATCTTAGAGAGATAGGATGGGATGGTATGGATTGGATAGATCTGGCTCAGGATAGGGACCAATCGAGGGCTCTTGTGAACACGGTGATGAACCTTTGGGTTCCATAAAATTCTGGGAAATTCTTGAGTAGCTGCAGAATTGACGGCTCCTCCAAAAGGGCTCAGCTCCATGAGTAAGTAAGTAAGTAAGTAAGTAATACAACCAATGGGTAGGTACATAAGGGACAACATGGTCCCTTAAAGGGTGTCAGTTGGACAGCCTTGATATACAATAAGTTAACATTAAGGCAAACAGTTTATTCATACAATTCTCCATAATCCTCATTCAAAGAAAACTTCAATCAGGTGTATGAAAAGATGTTTCTCCAGAGATTAATTAAAGAGGGATTTCACTGTAAACGTTTCCATGCCTTAAAACTGAAAAGGAAGAGGGCTTTTGATAGTGTGAAACAATCACACTGCCACAGATACAGGAACTGAGAAAGAGCAGGGCTTCTATAACATACACAGCGGTACTCAAAGCAAGAAATATTTCTGAATATTCTTGTATACTTAGTACTGATGGCAAATAAAAAAATTATGTGTGAATTGTATGACAGACACAAACACTTGTAAAAGTAAGAACTCAGTCAAACTGATGATAAACTGAGGCATCACACATTCTGTCCACAGCCTGAACTTTCTCGTCATGCCACATACTCATGGAGAAAGCTCGCATAGTAGACAAACCATGCAGTGCTAGCTTCTAACATCAACATGTCTGGATAAGTGCTCATTCCTCCATTTTCTGTTCAAGCTGTGTCACATTTTCATTATGTGTAATTTCATTTAAATTATTTCTCCAATGAGCAACTGCGAATCATTACCGTCTGGAATTTGTCAACATTGCGGAGGTTGTTTATGCTGGCGAGGAATGCTTCACAGCTGTGATTGTTCTGTGGTTGGGCCAGATAATTCCCCTCCCATTTTCTGTTCTGGCCCCATGCTGATCGCTTGCCTTTCAATGCTGATGCTGCACACATCTAAGGAGGGAATGTTTGTTAGTATTTTGTTAAAGCAGACATTCTAGAGAGAAAAAAAATCAGGAGTACTGACCTCTAGTTACAGACTTTCAAGAAATGAACAACTTGTATTTAGGAACATAGCGCAACTAATAAACTGCAACTCCTAATTCATTTTACGAACACAGGTTCCCACACCTACTACTATTTTATCAAATTAAATGATATATCTTATGAAATAAAAAAAAATTCAACTTACAAACACATCTCAAATAACATATTAAGTTCGCATTTATTTGTGGTCAACATAATTTGGTGGGAAGATGCGACTATAAACAACTAATTCCATGGAGCGGAGTGCTCGACAATCACTCAGTTGGGTAAGAAACCCTTTCCTTTTTATGAAACCTGAAGGCTCACACCATGTTGATAAGAGCCAGCCACTGCAGCTTATTCCAGTTAGACATACCCGACCCACACTTATATGCAATTTCTTTCACATCCACTTCAATATTATCCTCCCACATATCCCTTGATCTTCCACATGATTTTCTTCAACTTTCCTGAATAAAACTGTGATGCATTTTTCATTACTTCCATACGGCTACATGTCCTGTCCATGTATCTTCATTTCATCACTCTAATAACACTAGTCAAGAACACAAATTATGAGTGTGCACATTGTCCACATTACATATGTTCTCAAATGCAGAGAGAGAGGGGGGGTGAGTGTGCACGTTTTTGTCTTATCTAAAACAAAGGAGTAAAAATATAGTTTTACATTTTCTTTTAAATTTTAAATTTTTTTACACAGCACACAGAAAGCAAGAAATTCTGGACTGGAACTTATGAGTAGCAAACATTTCCTGAACTTACTCTATATTTTTACTTACATATTTGCCCAATATGTCACCCACGTTAATTTCTTTGTACTTATACTAGCAAGCTTATATTCTTCAATACATTAAAATCCACACATGAAAAATTTGACAGAAGGATTTTACTGCCACTGCAAACAAACCTTCAGCCTAAGCTGAGGCCATTCATCACGTGGAACAGCACGCAAAATCATCCAAGCCCTCCAGCGAGCATGAATAGCTCGCAGCGTGCCCACCACAGGTTGGATGGCCAGGGGAGGTGTTGGCCAGGTCACACTCTTGCCATAATCACGCATTTTCTCCACGTCTCTGTAAACCCGAAGTCCTTAACATTTTAAAATATGAAATTATGAACAGATAATTTCTTAAACTCTGTTAAATTGTGCATCATTTCAGTAACAATGTAAGATTTAAGATTTTCAGAGCAGTAAAGAATCATATCACGGCCTTATGGGTTATGACAATGGGAAGTCAGAATTTCAAAGTTGGTTCTTGGCAATGGATCATATAAATTTTTACCAACTGTATTTTCCTAAGACATTCAGTTTCTCTCTTTTTGAGAGTGCCAAAGAAATAGAAACAATAATAAAAAAATACAGTAAAGTAACCATATTAATTCTTTGCAGCCAATTCCATATAAATAACCCTTTTCTTGTATCAGAGGGTAGAAAGGGGCATGGAAAGAACAATTCATAACTTTGACATTTCTGGCATATAAATTGTGAAATTTTCTCATGTGTAATAAATATGCTGCACTGACATGCAGAGCAAGAAATTACAGGCACTCACATTCAAATATAGAGCAATATCAATGACATGTTATGAAATAAACTCTTGACTGTATATTATTCACGTGCACAGCAAACTATCCCTTATAAACGGCATGAGACCTCTCCTGAATTGACTCATATTTCAACATGATAACAGTTCTAACAAGGGGGCAGAATTCATTAAAAAAGAGAGAATATACAGACTAAGGCTCAGTAGTAAATGCAGTGTCTGACTGTAGATGACATCACCTCATATTTCTATTATACAGAGGCCGCTAATGTTGAACCATAAAATTACAAGGTTTCAGCCTACATACAGTGAAATATAAGATACATAAAAATTCTGCTCTGGTAGTAATATACAAAAAATGTAAGAGGAGCAATGGCTGTTTAAAGACTTTGGTGGCAAAAGGTCCTGTACCCACCAGCTCTGGGAGCCCTTCAGTGGAGTAGACTAGATTAACTTGTCATACTCCCATTAGAACTGTCAGAGCCAAAGAGATTATCTAAATGTTAATTACACTTCCTTGAGGTTGGAAAATTATGAAAGGAAGTAACTGTGGCCTATTTGTAGGTATTGCTCTGTCATTTGCCTTGAGGGATTGGGGAATACCATGAAAAGCATGCCAGGGTAGCTAGCTTCTAGACCAAGCTGGGACCTTCCAAATTTAATTCAGAAGTGTTAAACACAACGCTATATTCATTCTTCTGAACAATATAAAGGTAGAATCTTAATGGTGATTTAACAAGTTTTGCATAATTATAACACACATAAAAATTGAAAAAGTATATGTATAAAAATGCCAAAAGGATGAAACTCTTCTGTAATAATACAGATGCAATACCTGAAAGCACGCTGCAGTTGGTCCAGATATTTACGGATCTTGGCTCGCCGATAGTACTTCATTATATACAGAGCAGCTTTCATTTTCCTGTATTGTATGCGACACAGAGTGCCACGCCAAAGCTTCTGTAGGAGTATTACAATACCAGGAATCAGCTCACTGCGGGCCTAAAACACACAAAATTCATGTGCATGCAATGTGTGGAAGTGGGACCCTACCCCATCCCTTTCTTGAAATTGGGTCTCAGGTTTCCACATGGCTTCTGAACATAAGAATATTATGTATGTAGATAAGTAGTAATTATCAGGATTTTCTGGTATGTAATGAAATAACAATCAATTACTACAGACTTTCACAGATACTATACTGGACTGCGTAACACGAGTGTGTTAACTTGGTTAACATCTTGAAAAACAAATGAAAAGTTGTAATTTTCTGTGGTACTCCAGATAATGCACTGTCTGCCACTTCAAGCTTCCTCATTATAGTCATTGCTACCAGTTTCTTCAGCTTACACTAGCCATTTATGAGGAAAGGTGCAATTAAAAGAGGCACAATCTCAAAGACTTGGGGAAGATGGGACTGCATGCCATTCCAAGCTGCTACATTAGGCAAATGAGGAATATTAATTCACTTCAGTTCCTTGTTTGCTCATACAGTGTACATAATGTCACTGAAAAATCATCATCACATGGAATTGACATACAAGGTGTAAAAAAAGTAAGGTCAGTAGTCACAACTAATTTTTCTTAGCAAGTCATGCACTCTAAAATCTTACCGTTTCAAGAGCAAATAGTGTCGCAGGGGAACGGATAAAAATCTTTGTATTTCCATACTTGACATCATGCCCAAATTTTCGTTCCTCGATCAGCACACGAGTTCCATCTTTATCTGATCCCGCTCTGAAGTTGGGCCATGTAAACTGTGATATCATCTTATACCTGGCAACAATTTTACACAGTCCTTCAGACGAGATGACTTAGTAATAACATATTTTGAGCATAGTGAAATTTTAGCTATTCCTAAACATACTACAAAACTGCTAAGCAACTATTAATAAATTGATTATATTGTATATGCCATTTAGTCTACAAAATAGCATGGTTTATTTTTGGGAAATATTCTGTAACAATATTGTATTACTAGGCATCTTCTTCTAAGATTTTTTTATCATTTTGAAAGCTAAAGCTGTCCTCTTGTTTAATTAAGCACACCATGAAGACTGACTAGCCAGTGGAGGAACAGCTCCACACATTAACCTCAGCACTAGATGGAGGTGAATGTTCAGATTCACGCCCTAGATGATTTACTTCCAGAGAAACAGCCCCACCAATAACTTTTGAACACACACTAACCCTTTGTCATCTTATGTATCATGCACTTTATTACACTGACACCTTTCTGATAATGAATAGCAAAGGAATAAATGAAAGAATTACTGGTCAGTGAAAAATACATTTGGCACAAAACATGAAATAAGTGAATCAAGAATACTTGGTCTGAAATTATGGATACTAGGCACACAATACTGAATTAAATTAAAATAGTAAACTAATTTTACCAAATTGCCAATTAGTGTAAAAATACCTTTTAAGGAACTTGTCATAGCGCTGTCGGTATGCGAATCCAGCTCTCCTGACTCGAACATTCTCAACCAATCCAAGATAGCACACCTGATGTTTGACTCTTTCTTCATCGAACAGTGATGGAGATTTTACTTCATTTGGCTTAATGCAACGCACATAGAATGGCTCCTTACTAGTCAAGGTCTTGACTAAATCAATCATGGAATTGCGGAATAATGTTCCTGCTGTCAGAGGACGCTTTGTTGTCTAATAAAAAATAAAAAGTGATTTCAAAACAGACAAATTAATGTAATATATCAAGAACAGAAAACAGTACATTTTCATGAAATGGCATCATATCAATGGCCATATGTGTCTGACAATAGCTTTTTCTTTTATATGAGTTTATGGTGGGAAAGGATACAGAGCAATGGTTAATAACAGAATGAAAACAGCAAATATTTCATCCATGCTACATTCTTTCTCAACAAAGAATTAATAATACAATAAACCTAATTCCATAAAATGCTGAATTAAGAGTCTGACCCAACTGTTAAATCAATGCAATAAGTGTAAATCATGAGTAAGATTTCTGAGAGACTAAACACACCTGGTCCTCAATATATCAACAGTACACTTATGAACATCCATTCATTCAAACCGCATAAGAACTGCTCATTTTTATTCTAATTTATTTAATGTTCTCTATTTATTTATTGGTGGATGTATAACATGCTTCTTAACCTTTAACGTCAGAAGTGCCCCGATCAGGCCAGTGATAAGTATGGTCGTCATGGCCAAAGTACCCCATTTTGGCCAGTTGAGCATTTAAACTCTGCTAGTGGAAGTGCACGCACACGCCACTAGTAGAAGCGCATGCAAAGTACTAAATATTTATTTTTAAATGTAGTAATTACCAGACAGACTTGCATAAAACCCTAATAGAGGAAGTAAAATGATACCTAAGTGAACATCAACAAAAAAAGAGTATATGTATGAGTTATGCCCAAACTCATCCATGAGCCAGTACTTTTATTGCAGACTCTGCAGATTAATGTGTTAAAAATATATAGCAAAATTCGATGTACATACCTTTTTTATTGTCATCTGCTTGATGTATATATAGGCTGAAATGAAACTACAATATTCGATTTCACTATGAACGCACAGAAAACAGATCACACTTTGTATCTCATCCACGATGCAACTGTCTGTTCAAGACCCTAGAAGGGGCAATAATCTTTTGCAGCTATAATGAAAGGTCTTAGCACTGAAGAAGGGACCCCTCTAGCACTTTCTTGAATAACCATGCTTTCATTCTTCTGTCCTTTACTCAAAAGATTCAAAAATCTAAAATTTGTCAAGTGTTATGAGCAGAAATGAATTTATAATGCAGAACAACCCTGTGAAGAACTGGGAAACCATTTTTACAGTACGCATCAAGATTAAAAGAAAAAAATTGAAAATAGAGCATAACTCTTTGTATAGCAATTTTCAAATCTTCCGTTATAATAGGCAACACTATGTTCTTTGCTGATACAAACAAAGTTAATTCCATTTATTTATCATAAAAATTATGTTAGATACAGCATTTTTAAACATAATGCTTAAAATTCATTAAGCACTCTAACAGTAACTGACATTTAAACACAGAGTAGCAACGGGCATTTAAATGCGCACCAGCAGCAGGCATTTAAAAAACTCCGGCCAGCTCAAGCTTACCACCATTTCAAAAGTCAGGTGTTTAAAGGTTAACATTAATTTACAATGTAAACTACACAGTTAAACAGACTTTGTTCATATGCTTAAGTACTTAACTACTGCTAATTGCATTATTTCTTATGGGTAAAAGTATGTTTCAACTTAAGAATGACCCAATTTATGTATGAAGCTCTACAGCATAACCAAATTTTAAGCTGAAGATTAAGTGTATTTGCAGAAACTAATTCTCTTCATTAAAATTACCTAACAATATTCTTGATAGAATAACTTAGAATAATGTTTCTACAACCACAATTATGTTGCTACACCCTAATATAGAGAGGCCAAAGCTATAACCAATTCCTTACCTTAGTAATGTCCATAGCTCCTTCTGGCCACATATTACTGATGATCTTATTTGATGAATTGTACAAAAGGCGTCTGAAGTCTTGGAACAGCGTGTCCTTGTTTTTATCCAAAAATCCATTGATGTTGTATACTACATCTCCTGCATAGTGTCTGTTGAAGACAATTTAAGTTGTTTGTACTCAGTCGCCTCCTTCAGAATAGTACCGAAGTTCAGTGGATATGTGTAAGTAAAAAGTTTCAAGCTTGGTTTAAAGTCATGCTTAAGGTAATTTTATATGAAATGTTGGATCTTTTGCACATCTGTAGTTAGTCACACCTGAGGTCAATTATACAATATGTACCAAAATTACTTTTTTATGGGACATAAACCAGAAAGTAACTGATAGAGATGAAACAGCATCTTGTAACCATAAACATTCTTTGTGGCATTATTTTTTTTTTTTTCCATATAGCACTCTTAGTGACTTGATTTCATGAAAGAAAAGCTACTAACCAGCAAGAGATGGCACTATGGGTTGTGTGGCTTTGAGAGACTAGGTCAGTGACTATGGTGCAGTAAAATTTCAAATGGCAGTATTGAAATGATGCAGCCAGAAATGGCTGAAGAAGAGATAATGAATTCCTTGTTTCCGTATAGTTTACTGATGAGAACACATTTCATACTTTTGGTAATGTGAAACATCACATGTCAAAATTTGGAGTTCTGAAAACTGCCATGTTATCTGGGAACATGTACATGATAGTCTCAAGCCTCACATGGGACCAAGTTATCCCTCCTTTCTTTGTCAAGAACAGTGTAAGCAGGGTTAACTACCTTGACAAGCTGGAGCAGTCTGTAGTCCCACAACTGTAAGTAATGAAAACTCAATCAATTTTCCAAGAGGATGGTGTGCAACCCCACAGGCACACACGGTATCAGACTCCCTGGCCTGAATGTATCAGGGATGATGGATTGATCAGAGTGGATCAATTCTATGGCCTCCCTACATATGAAACCACTAGACTTGATTCTCTGTAAGTATGTGGAAAATACTATGTACCATATACCTTCGACTGCCTCTGTGGTCTAATGGTCAGACTTCCTGGCTACAGATCCAGAGGTCCCATGTTCGATTCCCGGCACTACCAGATTTTTTGAGAACAAGTGGGTCTAGAACAGGGTCCACTCAGCCTCGTGAGGACAACTGAGGAGCTACTTGAATGGGAAAGCAGCGGCTCCGGTCTAGAAAACCGAAATTAACAGCTATGGGGATCTGTTGCGCTGACCATGTGACACCCTCTACCCATTAAAGTTGGCACTAACTTCGTCGAAAAGCGGTGGTCGCTCGGTCAGTATAGGTTGCTTGCGGACTACAGGCCACAGATCATATACCTTTACCAAACATAAGGGAACTATGGATTCAGACAGTGAGCAACATTGCCATTGTGACCATGTATGAGTATATGTTGCAGCGAAAGTGAAATGGATTAGACACGGCAAGAGCCATTAATGGTGCACATGCAGAAGTCTACTGACTTCACCATAAAACATTTTTAAGGGCTGGGCCACAAGATGATGCACAATCATGTTCCATCTCTATTAGTTAATTTCAAAATATGAAAAGTAATTTTGGAATACTGTGAATATGGAGAAAACAGTAAACTAGCATTAAAAAAACTCTGAGGGTCCACACATGCTCTCTTGGATTTAAGAATCAGCCTTAATTCTATTTCTATATTATTAAAATTGATTGCAGGACTGCAGTGATTTAAGACAAACTGTACTACAGGAGGTAACATACCTGATTCTAAATTCCTCCTTGTGTTTCAGCTCTTTGTCCATGGGATTCAGTTGTCTGCTTGTATAATGTTTATGGTTGGCCAACTTCTTGTCCATGGCCTCTAGCAACATCTACAAACATCAGTTTAATTTTGAAATGAAAAGAACTAACTCCTGATTTTAATCTATCAACAATACCTAACGCTTCTTTTAGACACTACATTAGATTTACTTATCTCTTTGAACATGACTTACATATTTATACCACTGTAACAGCTATGGAAGGTCTGAGATTTGTGAAAACAGATGTACAGAGAAGCAAATTTCAATTTCTTCTTAAGAACACAAAATAAATGTAATGAAACTCTTTCCACACTTACTGTAAAGCCCTCCACATTAGATGAAATTCTACTCTGGTTTGTTATAAAGTTCTAAACAAAATATAGGAATTTTACAACTGAAATAAATCATCAGAGTAGTAAGGGATCAAATATTTCTGACCAGAATAAGAACCAATAGTTATGAGGAATGTATACTACCTCCTGAGTTATATACTTTCTTAAAGATTGCTGTCTTCTGTGTTATGACGTTATGTAGTCTGCATTATCAGTATTTCAGAGGAACCTGTTCTCTTCTCAGGGTACAATAACTGAATAAGGAGGCAGCAGGTAATGATCTACTAGACCGAACAATGTTGCAATATCTACACTGTCACTGCCACAAGAACCTCAATTCTTAAATATGTTTCTGATATTTATCATTTTAAGGGTTTCTTCCATTCTGAATCAACTGTTATGATGTGCACTCGACTGTATCACAGTTAACTCTGTTCTGTTCATGAAATTTATCTTCAAGGAAAATATTAAATGAGAATTTCACGCAATATAAAATGTATAATAATAAAACGATAAGGTGTAATACCTCATCAGTAACTTTTCCAACATTGAGGCAAGCTTCATCCATGATTGCAAGGACACCCTTGTGAGGCTGCTCCACCAAGTCACAAATGATCTGGTTGTTGAAGAAATCAACGTTTTTCCATTCAATGCCTTCACGACGATATTCTTCCTGCTCTTGTTTCAGCACAAGTTCTAGTAAAAAACAGTTGCAATATTGACTCCTCACAAATGAAAAAGAAAAACAATAATTCGGCAAGAACATTTGCTTGCCTCAGCATGAGCTACAGATATGACTGAAAATGAACAAATAATTCCTTACTTCCACTAGCTGTTTTATGGGAAGATCACAAAGACAAGAATTCTGTAGTCAGTTTTAATTAAAACAACATTCTAGAAAGATCTAGATCTCCACAGTGAGAATAAAACACAGCAAAATCCACTCTTGAACCTCACCGCAGCATACACACTTCTGAGCAGCCTAACACAGTGGTAATGCTTTAGACTCTGAATTCTGGAGATACTCAGTCTGAATCTCAGCTGGGACACAGTTATTCCTGATTGAGGATTTTCATGGATTTCCTCAGCCCCTTCAGGCAATTTCTTGGATAGTACCCCAATTAGGTCTTGACTGCTTCTTTCCAAATCATTTCAAATTCATCATTCATCTGTCAACCTACCATTCAATCTAGCTACTAACAGTGTTGTAAAGTATCCATCCACCCCAAAAGTAGACACCCACACAACTTCTAGATGCCAGTGAGACATAATACATTAATATATATAGATATATAATATATACTACACAAAGCTGAGAAACTGCAGACCCTGATTCCCATAATGTGGGAGTTTTACAGTGTTTGTTGTTCTTCCACCATAAGCAACTATGCAAGACAAATATGAGGTCTGGCAATAAAGTTTGCAAACTCGCCACCATGTGCTTGCAAGGCATCAATGGACAGAAACGTCAGTATGGTTTGATGATGTTGGCATATCAGCATTTCAAAGCTGTGTTGTTGTTGTTGTTGTTGTTGACTTATGGCAGTCTCTTTCTGAGTGTTTGGTGTGCTTTTGCGAGAATGTTGGAGCTTGAATTAGAACA